GGCCCTATAAAGCTCTTCCTTGTCACATGTGTACAAATACATAGCACAGCAGACTCCTGTCTCAACCACTGTTCCCCTTAGCAGTGTGTTTCAGTCAATCTGCCTGGTCTGCTCTCCACTCTGACTCTGGTGAATCCTCTCACACCCTGCACCTCTAGCTACTGTATGCATAAATAAAAGACATCTTTTAAAAAGGGCAAAAAAATAAGTCCAGGAATTGTTATACTATTATCAATGAAAAGAGCAGTAAAAGGCTAAAAACAGAAAATTTGGGTGAAAGTTTGTCTACTAAGCAATTTGATTCCTTAAAGACCACACCACCCCAAAACTAGACAGCAGCATTCCTCCACTGCAGAAAACACCTAAGTATTTTGAAAAGAAAAAAGCAAATGAGTACCTACCTGCATAAAAGCTGGAAACTACGGAAGTTAAAGTTTACTTCCTGAGTGCTAAGGTTATCTAACACTCCTAACCTTTTCTCAGAATACTAGGAGATATACTACCCAGCAAATAACTGGAATTCCTTCTCTAGGGAATCTGACCAGTACAAATATACTAATATCTGGGACACCCAAATAAAGAGACACTAATAATAAAGAACTTGGCTAGTCTTATGTACCAGGTTCCTAAAAGGTAGCTTTCACATGCCTGAAAATTCCCTTGAATGATGAATGTCTGTCATCTGCAGAGGGCTCCCAGAGGATCACGGCTCACAGTTTACATTATAACATGTTTCAGACAGAGTTGGTCCCTAAATAGTTTATGCTAATGATATGAGGGCTAGTCACATCAGAAAAGACCAAGCATGTGATGATAGAGTTATTAAGGCTTTTCAGTTGATATCGGAGAGGATGGTTCAAAAACTTAATGTCAATGATTCATTCAGTCATGCCGATATAATGAAATGGCAGTAAAAGCTAAGGACACAACGTTTGGATAAGCTTCCCTAGTTGGTAATTTTCTTTAATACTATCACACATAATTGTACCAGGTGGGTAATGTATAATATGATTCCATATAGAGAAGACAACAGAACATGTGCCTTTTGAACCCACTCAAATTTACCCCATGTCTCTACCTTTGGCCAGTTACGTTTTTCTTTTTGCTACAACAAAACTGTAATGATAAGTATGGTGCTTTTAGTGAATTCTGTGAGTTCATCTATTAAACTCCCAAACTTGAGGGGGTAGTGAGAACACTTAAATGTATATATAGCCAGTGGCCAGAAGTAAGGCTGGCCTATAGAAACCCAAACTTCTGGTTGGTATTTGAAATGAGGGTATAGTACTGTATCCTTAACCTGTAAAATGTGGCCTAATTATAGGTTAGTAGGTTCAGAGGCCACTACAAATGTTAAGGATAATCTGAGGTCATTTTATAGTGAATACCAATCAATAATGTAGTACAGAATTCTTAACAGTCTTGAAAATGTTAGCGTACCACTCCTGAGAAAGTCTCAAAAGGCAAGTCATCACCAAGCATATTAGGGAGAAATAGAACACTCCAGAAAAGCCATTATTGATAACGTTACAGAAATAACAATAAAGAGCCCTTTGAAATTAAAAATATGAGACAACATGAACTCCATAAAGAGTTGAAAATAATGCTGATGAAATATTCAAATAATAAGATGGTAACAAAGGAAATCAGGAAAGTAAATAAAAGAAAATTAGAAGATCAGTTCAGAGGGCCCAAATGCTGAATAACAGTATTCCAGAAAGAAAAAGTGGAAACAAGGGGTAGCAAGAACCCAAATAATTTAGGAAAAGACATCGCATAAGTTTCAGGTTTTAAAGTAAACTGAGGTCACAGTACATGTCTAAAAGAAATCCATATCCAGTCACATCATTAAGAAATTACAGAATGGTACGGCACAAAGATCTTACAAGCTCCTCAATTATAAGAGCAGAAAAGGAAAAAACCTTTTCAGATATGTAAGGACTCAAAACTTTTATCTCCCTGTTGCCTTTCTCAGAAACCTACTACAGGATCTGTTCCCCTAAAATAAGAGAGTAGCCAATAAAAAAGAAGCCACAAAATTCTAGCAAAAAGGAAATACAACACATGAGAGAGGTAAAAGGAATTCCCAGAATAATGGTAGAAGTGAGATCCTAGAACACTTACTTCATTGCTGCAAAACTATGAAACAGTGCAGGCCAAAGCAGATCAGAAGACTCCAGGAAATATTTCTTCAAGATAAAGAACTCATGAAATACTTAATGTATAAAAATATACTGGGAGGAGATTTAAACAACTAGGAGGAGGAAGAATTAGGGTAAAATTTAGGTAATGAAAGACTGATGCGTATTAATTCTAGAGGGGAAAATATAGTCACCTAAGAAAGGAAAATTGTAATGTACAATGTACTGTATGACTCAATAATAAATATCATTAACAAAGTCATAATAATGAAAACACTCAATATTGTTCTAGTCAATATTATAACGTAAAAATAACAGGACAAAAAAACAAGTATGAATGAAAGCAATTTGGGGTAAGAAAGAAAGTTGAACTCTCTAAGCTTGTATAGTGGGAAATTAACAGATAACTAGGGTACATGAAAACAAATCAACAAGTAGCTGATAGCCTATGTTATTTAAAGGTATGGCGGTAATTACCAAATAAATCAGATGAAAGAATTTTAAATGCTAGTGCAGAAGAATGGGGAATTTGATATCTGTTGGGGGTGAGTCTGCCCTTTTTAATTTCAGGAATTATCTATCACATTTTTATTTTTATTTTTAAACACAAACATAAATAAATTTAGTTAAAAAACAAGCACTGAGTACTACAAAGCCATAATAATCAAAACTGCATGGTACTAGAATAAGAATAGATGTACAGACCAGTGGATTCAAACAGAAAACCCATATATAAACCCACAAGTTTATGGACACCTAATTTTTGACAAAGGAACAAAGAAGATACAATGGAACAAAGAAAATTTGTTCAGCAAGTGGTGCTGGGAAAACTGGG